CATGGATCTGCTGGGTGGAAAAGCAGCCTGGATTAATTAATTAATTAATTTATTAATTTATTGTTTTATTAATTTATTATTTAATTAATTAATTAATTTATTAATTTATTAATTAATTTTTGGGATATTCAGCTGAGAAAACAAGGAAGGAAAACTCAGCCAGGAACATTTGGGACCAAACTGAATTCCTGTTCCTGATTTCCCTGGAAATCCGAGGGGTTTGGGGGGAAAAGATGGAATTTGGGTGGGAATCTGAGGAATTTTGGGATGAAAAGATGGAATTTTTGTGGAATTTTGGGTGAACAGATGGAATTTTGGTGGAAATCAGGGATTTTTGTGAACAGGTGGAATTTGGGTGCAAATCTGAGGGGTTTTGGTGGAAATCTGAGGGATTTTGGAGGAACAGATGGAATTTGGTTGGAAATCTGAGGGATTTCGGTGAACAGGTGGAATTTTCGTGGAATTTTGGGTGAACAGGTGGAATTTTGGTGCAAATCAGGGATTTTGGTGAACAGGTGGAATTTTGGTGGAAATCTGGGGGATTTTGGTGGAAATCTGAGGGATTTTGGTGGAAATCTGAGGGATTTTGGGATAAATAGGTGGAATTTTGGTGGAAATCTGAGGGAATTTTGGCAGAAATCTGCAGAATTTTGGTGGAAATCTGAGGGATTTTGGGTGAACAGGTGGAATTTGGGTGGAAATCTGAGGGAATTTGGTGGAAATCAGGGATTTTGGATGAACAGATGGAATTTGGGTGGAAATCTGAGGGATTTGGGCTGAACTGGTGGAATTTTGGGTGGAAATCAGGGATTTTGGTGGAAATCTGAGGGATTTTGGGATGAACAGGTGGGATTTTGGTGGAAATGAGAAATTTTGGCTGAACAGGTGGAATTTGGGTGCAAATCAGGGATTTTGGTTGAACAGGTGGAATTTTGGGTGGAAATCTGAGGGATTTGGGGTGAACAGGTGGAATTTGGGGTGGAAATCAGGGATTTTTGTGGACATGTGGAATTTTGGTGGAAATCTGAGGAATTATGGTGGAAATCTGAGGGATTTTGGGTGGAAATCTGAGGGATTTTGGATGAACAGGTGGAATTTTGGTGGAAATCTGTGGGATTTTGGGATGAAAAGATGGAATTGTAGTGGAAATCTGAGGGATTTTGGGTGAGCAGGTGGAATTTTCGTGGAATTTTGGGTGAACAGGTGGGATTTTGGTGGAAATCTGAGGGATTTTGGGTCAACGTGTGGAATTTTGGTGGAAATCTGAGGGATTTTGGTGGAAATCTGAGGGATTTTGGGATGAACAGATGGAATTTGTGGTGGAAATCAGGGATTTTGGTGGACATGTGGAATTTTGGTGGAAATCTGAGGGATTTGGGTGGAAATCTGAGGGATTTTTGTGAACACATGGAATTTTGGGTGGAAATCTGAGGGATTTTTGGATGAACAGGTGAAATTTTGGTGGAAATCTGATGGATTTTGGGATGAACAGGTGGAATTTTCGTGGAATTTTGGGTGAACAGGTGGAATTCTGGTGGAAATCTGTGGGATTTTGGATGTACAGGTGGAATTTTGGCAGAAATCTGAGGGATTCTGGTGGAAATCTGAGGGATTTTGTTTGAACAGGTGGGATTTTGATGGAAATCTGAGGGATTTGGGATGAACAGGTGGAATTTTAGTGAAAATCTGAGGGATTTTGGGTGGAAATCTGAGGGATTTTGGGTGGAAATATGAGGAATTTTGGGATGAAAAGATGGAATTTTAATGGAAATCTGAGGGATTTTGGTTGAACATGTGGAATTTTGGTGGAAATCTGATGGATTTGGGTGGAAATCTGAGGGATTTTGGTGGAAATCTGAGGGATTTGGGGTGAACAGGTGGAATTTTGAGCGATTTTGATGGAAATCTGAGGGATTTTGGTGAAATCTGAGGGATTTTTGTGAACAGGTGGAATTTTAATGGAAATCTGAGGGATTTTGGGATGGACAGGTGGGATTTGGGATGGAAATCAGGGATTTTTCTGAACAGGTGGAATTTTGGTGGCAATCTGAGGGATTTTGGTGTGAATCCTTGGGATTTTGGTGACCAGTGTCCGTTTTTCGGGAATACCCAACCCCTCCATGGATCTGTTGTGATTCTGGTGGATTTTCCCCAAATTTCCCAATTTCTGCTCTCCAGCAGCAGCTGATGAAGAACACCTGGATAATCCTGGATAATCCCTGGTTTTTTATTATCCCAGATTCCCAATTAATTGAAAAACCGGGAGCAAAACCCCATTTTTAGGATTTTTAAAGATTTATATTCACATTTTTTCCCTCTTAAAAAAAAATCTCTGATTTCTCCTTTTCATTTTTCTTCATTTCCCATTTTTACTTTTCCCTTCATTTTCCTCCTGCTTTTATTGGGGGTTTTTTATTTGGGGTTTTTCATTTGGGGTTTTTTTATTTGGGTTTTTTATTTGGGGTTTTTCATTTGGGGTTTTTTATTTGGGGTTTTTTATTTGGGGTTTTTTATTGGGGTTTTTTATTTGGGGTTTTTCATTTTTGGTTTTTCATTCTGGGTTTTTTATTTGGGGTTTTTTATTTGGGATCTTTTATTTGGGGTTTTTCATTTGGGGTTTTTCATTTGGGGTTTTTTATTTGGGGTTTTTCAATTGGGGTTTTTTTATTTGGGTTTTTTATTTGGGATTTTTCATTTGGGGTTTTTCATTTGGGGTTTTTCATTTGGGGTTTTTCATTTGGGTTTTTTTATTTGGGGTTTTTTATTTGGGGTTTTTCAATTGGGGTTTTTTATTCGGGGTTTTTCATTCTGGGTTTTTTATTTGGGGTTTTTCATTTGGGGTTTTCCATTGGGGTTTTTTATTTGGGGTTTTTCATTTGGGGTTTTTTATTTGGGGTTTTTCATTTGGGGTTTTTCATTTGGGGTTTTTCATTTGGGGTTTTTTATTGGGGTTTTTCATTTGGGGTTTTTTATTTGGGGTTTTTCAACTGGGGTTTTTCAATTGGGGTTTTTTATTGGGGTTTTTTATTTGGGGTTTTTCATTCGGGGTTTTTTTATTTGGGGTTTTTTATTTGGGGTTTTTCATTTGGGGTTTTTCATTTGGGGTTTTTCAATTGGGGTTTTTCTATTTGGGGTTTTTTATTTGGGGTTTTTCATTTGGGGTTTTTCATTTGGGATTTTTCATTTGGGGTTTTTCATTCGGGGTTTTTCATTTGGGGTTTTTCATTCGGGGTTTTTCATTTGGGGTTTTTTATTTGGGGTTTTTTATTTGGGGTTTTTCAATTGGGGTTTTTCAATTGGGGTTTTTTATTTGGGGTTTTTCATTTGGGGTTTTTCAATTGGGGTTTTTTATTCGGGGTTTTTTATTTGGGGTTTTTTATTGGGGTTTTTTATTTGGGGTTTTTCATTCGGGGTTTTTTTATTTGGGGTTTTTTATTTGGGGTTTTTTATTTGGGGTTTTTTATTTGGGGTTTTTTATTGGGGTTTTTTATTTTGGGGTTTTTTATTTGGGGTTTTTTATTTGGGTTTTTTTATTTGGGGTTTTTCATTTGGGGTTTTTCATTCGGGGTTTTTCATTTGGGGTTTCTCATTTGGGGTTTTTCATTTGGGGTTTTTTATTTGGGGTTTTTATTTGGGGTTTTTTATTTGGGGTTTTTCATTTGGGGTTTTTTATTTGGGGTTTTTCAATTGGGGTTTTTATTTGGGGTTTTTCATTTGGGGTTTTTCATTTGGGGTTTTTTATTCGGGGTTTTTTATTTGGGGTTTTTTATTTGGGGTTTTTTATTTGGGGTTTTTTATTTGGGGTTTTTTATTCAGGTTTTTTCATTTGGGGTTTTTCATTTGGGGTTTTTTATTTGGGGTTTTTTATTTGGGGTTTTTTTATTTTGGGGTTTTTCATTTGGGGTTTTTCATTTGGGGTTTTTCATTTGGGGTTTTTCATTTGGGGTTTTTTATTTGGGGTTTTTTATTTGGGGTTTTTTATTTTGGGGTTTTTTATTTGGGATTTTTTATTTGACGTTTTTCAATTGGGGTTTTTTATTTGGGTTTTTCATTTGGGGTTTTTTCATTTGGTGTTTTTCATTTGGGGTTTTTCAATTGGGGTTTTTCATTTGGGGTTTTTCATTTGGGGTTTTTATTTGGAGTTTTTCATTTGGGGTTTTTCAATTGGGGTTTTTTATTTGGGGTTTTTTAATTTGGGGTTTTTCATTTGGGGTTTTTATTTGGGGTTTTTCATTTTTGGTTTTTCATTTGGGGTTTTTTATTTGGGGTTTTTTATTTGGGGTTTTTCATTTGGGGTTTTTTATTTGGGGTTTTTATTTGGGGTTTTTTATTTGGGGTTTTTTATTCGGGGTTTTTTATTTGGGGTTTTTTATTTGGGGTTTTTCATTTGGGGTTTTTTATTTGGGGTTTTTATTTGGGGTTTTTTATTTGGGGTTTTTTATTCGGGGTTTTTTATTTGGGGTTTTTTATTTGGGGTTTTTCATTTGGGGTTTTTCATTTGGGGTTTTTCATTTGGGGTTTTTCAATTGGGGTTTTTATTTGGGGTTTTTCATTTGGGGTTTTTCATTTGGGGTTTTTATTTGGGATTCTTCATTTGGGGTTTTTCATTTGGGGTTTTTTATTTGGGGTTTTTATTTGGGGTTTTTTATTTGGGGTTTTTCATTTGGAATTTTTCATTTGGGGTTTTTTATTTGGGGTCTTTCAATTGGGGTTTTTTATTTCGGGGTTTTTTATTTGGGGTTTTTCATTTGGGATTTTTTATTTGGGGTTTTTCATTTGGGGTTTTTCATTTGGGGTTTTTCATTTGGGGTTTTTCATTTGGGGTTTTTTATTTGGGGTTTTTTATTTCCAACTCAACCAAAGCCTTGAAACCAAAAGGGAATTCAGTGAATTTGGGAATTCAGCGATTCGGGATTTTGGCTGATGGAGTTTTTTGGTGAATTCTCTGCTGATTGAGCTGTTTAAAATTTGGATTTTCCAATTTATTTTTATTTTTGCAGGGATATCCCAATGCCTCTGGTGAGCTCCGGGGTGGAGCACGGGAACCTGAGGGAGCTCGCCCTGGCCAGGATGAAGGACCTTGGCACACAGGTAAATTTAAAATAAAAATAAAATTAATAATAATTTAAAATATTTGATAAATGTTTTATAAATAATTTCTATTTATTTGTAATAAAATATAATAAAATGTTTATTTTTTTGTAAATAATAAATAATGAAGGAAAATCCTCTCTGGTTGTGTTGAAGGAGATTTGATGGCTCCACCCAAATCAGGAGGTGAAAACCCAAAAGAACCAGATTTGGCTTAAAAAAAACCAAAAAAAAGCAGATTTGGCATTTAAAAAAAAAACAGATTTGGCTTTTAAAAAAACCCCAAAGAATCAGATTTGGTTAAAAAAAAAAAATCCTTTAAAAAAACCCAAAAGGACCAAATCTGGCTTAAAAAAATCAACCAAAAGAACCAGATTTGGCTTTTTTTTTTTTTTAAATAATTAATAAAATAATAAAGAACCAAAGAATAAAATAAAATAATAAAGAATAAAATAAAATAATAAATGACCAAATTTGGCTTTAAACAAACCCCAAAAGAATCAGATTTGTCTTTAATTTTTTTTTTAAATAATAAATAAAGTAATAAAGAACCAAAGAATAAAATAAAATAATAAAGAATGAAATAAAATAATAAATGAGCAGATTTGGCATTAAAAAAAATCCCAAAAGAACCAGATTTGGCTTAAAAAAAACAAAAAAAAGAAGCAGATTTGGCATTAAAAAAAACCCAGATTTGGCTTTTAAAAAAACCCCAAAGAATCAGATTTGGTTAAAAAAAAAAATCCTTTAAAAAAACCCAAAAGGACCAAATCTGGCTTAAAAAATCAACCAAAAGAACCAGATTTGGCTTTAAATTTTTTTTTAAATAATAAAGAACCAAAGAATAAAATAAAATAATAAAGAATAAAATAAAATAATAAATAACCAAATTTGGCTTAAAAAAAAAAAAAAACAAAAGAACCAGATTTGGCACTTTAAAAAAACCCCAAAATAACCAGATTTGGCATTAAAAAAAATCCCAAAAGAACCAAATTTGACATTGAAAAAAATCCCAAAAGAACCAGATTTGGCTTTAAAAAAATTTTTTTTTAAATAATAAATAAAATAATAAAGAACCAAAGTATAAAATAAAATATTAAAGAATAAAATAAAACGGATCCAACCCCAGGCTGGGAATGGAGGGAATTCCCTGGGAAAAGGGGAAATGGGATTTGGGAAGGGATTCCTGGGGTATCCCAAAAAACCCCAAATCCCATGAAAAGAACCCCAAATCCCCAAGAAAATACAAATTCCCAAATCTTGCAGAAAAGGTCAAAAAATTCCCCAAAAATCCCAAAAAAACCCTTTAAATTTGGGAGGGATTTGGGCTGGAATTCCCAGAGAATCCCTAGGAAAGGCTGGAAAATCCCGGAATTGCGGGGTGGGATTGAAGCTCCATGGATCCCATCCCAAACCATTCCGGGATTTTGGGATCCAGGATCCATCCTGAGGGGTTTTTATGGGATTTGGGGAGTCCCAAATTCCCAGGGAATTCCCAAAATTCCTTCCTGGATCCCAAAATTCTCCTACAATGGGATTGAAGCTCCATGGATCCCATCCCAAACCATTCCGGGATTCTGGGATCCAGGACACTCAGGATCCATCCCAGAGGATTTTATGGGATTTGGGATTGGAAAAGGGAAGGGAGACCCTTCCTGGAGTGCCCAATTCCCAGGGAATTCCCAAAATTCCTTCCCAGAGAGGAGCTGGGATGGGGATGGATCCAACCCCAGGCTGGGAATGGAGGGAATTCCCTGGGAAAGGGAAAAATGGGATTTGGGAAGGAATTCCTGGGGTATCCCAAAAAACCCCAAATCCATGAAAAAAACCCCAAATCCCCAAGAAAATACAAATTCCCAAATCTTGCAGAGAAGGTCAAAAAATTCCCCAAAAATCCCAAAAAATCCCTTTAAATTTGGGAGGGATTTGGGCTGGAATTCCCAGAGAATCCCTGGGAAAAGCTGGAAAATCCCGGAATTGTGGGGTGGGATTGAAGCTCCATGGATCCCATCCCAAACCATTCCGGGATTTTGGGATCCAGGATCCATCCCCAGGGATTTTTATGGGATTTGGGGATGGAAAAGGGAAAGGAGACCCCAAATTCCCAGGAAATTCCCAAAATTCCTTCCCAGAGAGGAGCTGGGATGGGGATGGGGTGGAAAATCCATGGATCCCATCTGGAGAAATCTGGGATTCTGGGATCCAGGATCCATCCTGAGGGGTTTTTATGGGATTTGGGGAGTCCCAAATTCCCAGGGAATTCCCAAAATTCCTTCCCGGAGAGGAGCTGGGATGGGGATGGATCCAACCCCAGGCTGGGGATGGAGGGAATTCCCTGGGAAAAAGGGGGAAAATGGGATTTGGGAAGGGATTCCTGGGGTATCCCAAAAAACCCCAAATCCATGAAAAGAACCCCAAATCCCCAAGAAAATACAAATTCCCAAATCTTGCAGAGAAGGTCAAAAAATTCCCCAAAAATCCCAAAAAAATCCCTTTAAATTTGGGAGGGATTTGGGGCTGGAATTCCCAGAGAATCCCTGGGAAAGGCTGGAAAATCCCGGAATTGCGGGGTGGGATTGAAGCTCCATGGATCCCATCCCAAACCATTCCGGGATTTTGGGATCCAGGACACTCGGGATCCATCCCGGGGGGTTTGGAACCAGGGAATTTCTGGAATTTTCCGGAACTTTCCGCGCTCAGGGCTTTCCTTCCCTGTTTTCCCAGTGCCGCGACGTGCGGACGCGGGAGGTCGGGATTCGGGAGATCCACCACAAAGTGAGGCCCTACCAGGTAAAAATCCCAAATTTTTATGGATTCCCCAGGAAATTCCTGGAATTCCTGAGGACCTGCCCTGGGAGTGGGGTGCATTCCATGGAGCGCTCACAGCTCCCCTTTGTTCCCTGGAAAAATCGGGATTTGGGGAATTTTGGGAATTTGGGAAATCCAGTGGCAGCTGGGTCTGTTGGGAGTGAGGATGGGGAATTCAGGGCTTTTTTTGGGGGAATTTCCATGGGTTTTAGGGAAAGGGTGGGGATTTAAATATGGATTTAAATGTGAAAAAATGTGTAATAAAATGCATTTATAAATGTAAATGTAAATGTAACTATAAATATAAATATAAATATATATAAATATAAATATAAATATAAATATACATATACATATAAATATACATATAAATATACATATACATATACATATGCATATACATATACATATAAATAAATATAAATATAAATATATACACATTTTATATTTCTATTGCATATAAAATATATATTCTACTGCATATAAAAGATGCATTTTATATATTACATATTTATATAACATATATATTATATCTTTTATATAATATATGTTATATATAATGTGTTATATATGATATAATTATATATAATGTTATATAATATATATAATGTTATATATGGGGTTATATATAATGTATACAATATATATGCACATAATATATATAATATATAGATAATGTATAAAAATGTGTTGTGTATATGATATATATTATATATTATATATATTTTATATATATTTATATATTTTTTTATATATTTATATATAAATATATATTTATTTATATATCTTTATATATATATTTATATATATATTTAGATATGTCCTATATATATATATCCTATATATATATTTATATATTTTTTTAATATATTTATATATATATATTTATATATATCCTATCCCAAATATATACAATATATAAATATATTGTAAATATTAATTTATAAATATAAATATAAATATATATTATATATTTTATACTATATATTATATAGTATATATTATATACTATATCTTATATATTATATATTATGTACTAGATATTATATCTAATATATTATATATTATATAGTATATATTATATATTATATATTATATATTATATACTATATACTATATACTATATACTATATATTAACGACAAATTAGATATTATATAATATATTATATATATTTTCATATATTATTTAGAAATATATACTGTTATATATAAAAATATATAATAAAAGTATCTATAATATATAAAAAATATAAAGTATATATATACTTTTATATATATAAAAAATATAAAATATACAAATATATTATGGTTGTATTTATTATATATTATATTATTATATGTTATAATATAATAATATAATATATATGTTTATATATATAATATATATTATATATATTTATATGTTTCTATTTATTATATATAATATATTTTATATATTATATATACATATATATATATAGATATATATATATAAGCGTATTTAGAAGTGTAATTTCTATTTAAAGCTGCATTTTTCTGTGAGTGCGTTGATTCTGCTCACACATTTTGGGGTTTCCATCCCCAAAATCCTGAAATGATCCCTTAGGAGGAGGCTTTGGCTCATGGGAGAGAGAGGAAAACCTGGAATGCCTCGGGCTGGAACGGGATCGTCCTGGGAGTTCCCATATCCAGGGAGTTCCCATATCCTGGGAATTTCCATATCCTGGGAGTTCCCATATCCTGGGAGTTCCCATATCCTGGGGATTCCCATATCCTGGGGATTCCCATATCCTGGGAATTTCCATATCCTGGGAATTCCCATATCCTGGGAGTTCCCATATCCAGGGAGTTCCCATATCCAGGGAGTTCCCATATCCTGGAAATGTCCACATCCATGGAATTCCATATCCTGGGAGTTCCCATATCCTGGGAGTTCCCATATCCTGGGAATGTCCACATCCATGGAATTCCATATCCTGGGAGTTCCCATATCCTGGGAGTTCCCATATCCAGGGAATTCCCATATCCTGGGAGTTCCCATATCCAGGGAATTTCCATGTGCAGGGAGTTCCCATATCCTGGGAGTTCCCATATCCTGGGGATTCCCATATCCTGGAAGTTTCCATATCCTGGAAATGTCCATGTGCAGGGAATTTCCATATCCTGGAAGTTTCCATATCCTGGCATTATTCATATCCCAGGAATTTCCATATCCCAGGAATTCCCATATCCTGGGAATGTCCACATCCTAGGAATTCCCATATTCTGGAAATGTCTATACCCTGGGAATATCCATGTCCTGGAAATGTTCATTTCCTGGAAATGTCCATATCCTGGGAATATTCATATCCCGGGAATTTTCATATCCCGGCAATTCCCATATCCTGGGAATGTCCACATCGTAGGAATTCCCATATCCTGGAAATGTCTGTATCCTGGAAATTCCCATATCCATGGAATTCCATATCCTGGAAATTCCCATATCCATGGAATTCCATATCCTGAGAATTTCCACATCCTAGGAATTCCCATACCCTGGAAATTTCCATATCCTGGGAATTCTCACATCCTGGAAATTCCCATATCCTGGGAGTTCCCATATCCTGGAAATTTCCATGTGCAGGGAATTTCCTTATCCTGGGAATTTCCATGTCCTGGAAATGTCCATATCCTGGGAATGTCTGTATCCTGGGAATTCCCATACCCTGGGAATATCCATGTTCTAGGAATTCCCATATCCTGGAAATTCCATATCCTCAAAGTTTCCATATCCTGGAAATTTCCATGTCCTGGAAATTTCCATATCCTGGGAATTCTCACATCCTGGAAATTCCCATATCCCAGGAATTCCCATATCCTGGGAATTCCCATATCCTGGGAATTTCCATATCCTGGAAATGTCTGTATCCTAGGAATTCCCATATCCTGGAAATCTCCATGTCCTGGAAATTTCCATATCCATGGAATTCCATATCCTGAGAATTTCCATGTCCTAGGAATTCCCATATCCTGAGAATTTCCATATCCTGGAAATTTCCATATCCTGGGAATTCCCGTATCCCAGGAGTATCCATGTCCTGGAAATGTCCATATCCTGGGATTATTCATATCCCAGGAATTTCCATATCCCAGGAATTCCCATATCCTGGGAATGTCTATACCCTGGGAATATCCATGTCCTGGAAATTTCCATATCCTGGGAATGTCCATATCCTGGAAATTCCCATATCCAGGGAGTTCCCATATCCTGGAAATTTCCATGTGCAGGGAATTTCCATATCCTGGGATTATTCATATCCCAGGAATTCCCATATCCTGGGAATGTCCACATCCTAGGAATTCCCATACCCTGGGAATATCCACGTCCTGGAAATTTCCATATCCAGGGAATTCCCATATCCTGGGAATATCCACGTCCTGGAAATTTCCATATCCATGGAATTCCATGTCCTGAGAATTTCCATGTTCTAGGAATTCCCATATCCTGGAAGTTTCCATATCCTGGAAATTCCCATATCCTGGGAATTTCTATATCCCAGGAATATCCATGTCCTGGGAATTTCTATATCCCAGGAATGTCCATGTCCTGGAAATTTCCATATCCTGGGATTATTCATATCCCAGGAATTTCCATATCCCAGGAATTCCCATATCCCAGGAATTCCCATATCCTGGGAATGTCCACATCCTAGGAATTCCCATATTCTGGTAATCTCCATATCCTGGGAATGTCTGTATCCTGGGAATTCCCATACCCTGGGAATATCCATGTCCTAGGAATTCCCATATCCCTGAAATTTCCATATCCCGGAAATTCCCATATCCAGGGAATTCCCATATCCTGGAAGTTTCCATATCCTCAAAGTTTCCATATCCCGGGAATTCTCACATCCTGGAAATTCCCATGTCCTGGGAATTTCCCTATCCCAGGAATTCCCATATCCTGGGAATTCCCATATCCCAGGAATATCCATGTCCTGGAAATTCCCATATCCCAGGAATTCCCATATCCCAGGAATTCCCTCTTCCCGTTCCCCCGCTGACGTTCCGGAAGGCCCCGAGCGATTCTGGATTTTACTTCCAATAAATTCAATTCCACCTGGAATTGTCGGGGTGCTGGGAAAAGCTGGATCAGGAATCCACTCCCAAACCCTCCTCCCCATCCCAATTCCCAAACTGAGCCACAAATTCCCGGATTTCCTCTTCATTCCTGCTTTGGAATTCCACGGATTCCTCAGGCTTCCAGGAGTTTGGGGAACATTCCCCGAGTTCAGAAAATTTTTCCAGTCAGAGATTCCAGGGAATTTTATTCCCTTTTTTTTTATTTTTTTCCCTTTATGATGAGTGAAATACTCAAAATTCCCAATAAATCTCCCCGTTTTTCCGGGATTCCCGCAGGGATCCGAGGCCGCCCCGGCTCCCGGGAATCGGGGATTTTTTTTCCCGCCTTTCTGCCGGATCTCATTTGAATTGCAAATCTGGGGCGGGGGAGCTCATCCCGCGCTTTTCCAAGCGGAAAATTCCCTTTGTTCGGGCGGGCGGGTGACGGGCAGGAGCGGGAATCCCGGGAAAAGCGTTTTCCATGGATGTTTGGGGCGCTCTGTGAGCAACCAACATCGTCCTCCTGACGGGAGAGGGATCCTGGCTCCGATTAATCAATCAATTAATCAATTAATTATTAATTAAACGGCTCCGGGGCGGGGTTCTGTGACAGAAATCTGAATTTCGGGGCGGTTTTTCCAGGCCTGGGTTTTTATGGATCTGTCGGGAGGGGCCGGGAATGCTGAAGGATGAAATTGCTGCGAGGAGACCTCGGAATGATGGATCCAAGAGGGGTCGGATCCCAGCTCCTGGAAAACAGAGGGATCCTCTGGGAATAACGAGGGATAAATAAATAAATAAAGCGCAGTTTGGGGCTGGTGTGGGCCCAGACAGGTTCCAGATATTTCTTGGGATTTCCCAGGGAAAAGGGAAGGGTTGGGCACAGGGAATTGTCCCTGAAGTGTTGAGGGACGGCCTGGAAAGGGTTTGGAGCAGTTTGGGATCAGGGCTGGGAATGGGATGGGATTGATGGATCCCATCCCAAACCATTCCAGAGTCTGGGATCCAGCACGCTCAGGATCCATCCCCAGGGATTTTTATGGAATTCAGGGATGGAAAAGGGAAGGGAGACCCTTCCTGGAGTCCCCAGTTCCCAGGGAATTCCCTGTATCCCAAAATTCCTTCCCGGAGAGGAGCTGGGATGGGGATGGCTCCAATGCCAGGCTGGGAGAGCTGGGAATGGAGGGAATTCCCTGGGAAAAAGGGGAGCTTGGGGTGGGATTTGGGAAGGGATTCCCGGCTGGGCTGGCATTCCCAGAGAATCCCTGGCAGTGTCCAAGGAAAGGCCGGAGCCCCCTGGGATGGCAGAAGGTGTCCTGAGAATGGGACCGGAGATCCCTTCCCACCCAAACCATTCCATGATTCTGTGCCAGAGCTGGGATTCCCGTCTGGAATCAAACTGGATTTAGGGAAGTTCTTCCTGTTTGCTGGAAGAATATCAACGAATCCATGGGATCAGCTTCGGCCTCCCCACACACATTTCCCTTTTTTCCCTCCTTTCCCTCCCCATCCATCCCATTCCCGGCCCAGGTGGAGCTGATCCGTTGGGATCGCGTGGCCAATTCCAAATTCCCATCTGGAATCAAGATGGCTTTGGGGAGTCCCTTCCTGTTTGCTCTGAGCCGTATTTGTGGATCCACGGAATCGGCTTCACTCTCACATTTTCCTTTTTCCCTCCTCGTCCATCCCACTCCCAGCCCAGGTGGAGCTGATCCATCGGGATCACGTGGCCAATTCCAAATTCCCATCTGGAATCAAACTGGCTTGGGGAAATCCCTTCCTGTTTGCTCATATTTATGGATCCATAGAATTGGCTTCGCGCTCACATTTTCCTTTTTTCCTGCTTTTCCTCCTCGTTTGTCCCGCTCCCAGACCAGGTGGAGCTGATCCATCGGGATTACGTGGCCAGTTCCAAATTCCCATCTGGAATTAAATTGGCTTTAGGAAATCCCTTCCTTTTTGCTCTGAGCCGTATTTGTGGATCCACGGAATTGCCTCAGCTCTGATATTTTCCTTTTTCCCTCCTTTTCCTCCTTGTCCCATCGGGATCACGTGGCCAATTCCAAATTCCCATCTGGAATCACACTGGCTTTGGGGAATCCCTTCCCATTTGCTCTGAGCCATTTTTATGGATCCATGGAATTGGCTTCACTCTCACATTTTCCATTTTCCCCCCTTTCCCTCCTCATCCATCGTCCTCCCAGATCAGTTGGAGCTGATCCATCGGGATCACGTGGCCAGTTCCAAATTCCCATCTGGAATCACACTGGCTTTGGGGAATCCCTTCCTTTTTGCTCTGAGCCATTTCTGTGGATCCATGGAATTGGCTTCACTCTCACATTTTCCTTTTTCCCTCCCCGTCCATCCCATTCCCGGCCCAGTTGGAGCTGATCCCTTGGGACCGCGTGGCCAGTTCCAAATTCCCATCTGGAATCAAACTGGCTTGGGGGAATCCCCTCCTCTTTGCTCATATTTATGGATCCATGGAATTGGCTTCGCGCTCACATTTTCCTTTTTCCCTCCTCATCCATCCCACTTCTGGACCAGCTGGAGCTGATCCATCGGGATTACGTGGCCAGTTCCAAATTCCCATCTGGAATCACACTGGCTTTGGGGAATCCCTTCCTTTTTGCTCTGAGCCATTTTTATGGATCCATGGAATCACTCTCACATTTTCCATTTTCCCCCCTTTCCCTCCTCCTCCCAAATCAGTTGGAGCTGATCCGTTGGGATTACGTGGCCAGTTCCAAATTCCCCTCTGGAATCACACTGGCTTTGGGGAATCCCTTCCTTTTTGCTCTGAGCCGTATTTGTGGATCCATGGAATCGGCTTCGCTCTCACATTTTCCTTTTTCCCTCCTCGTCCATCCCACTTCCGGCCCAGGTGGAGCTGATCCGTTGGGATTGCATGGCCAGTTCCAAATTCCCCTCTGGAATCACACTGGCTTTGGGGAATCCCTTCCTGTTTGTTTTGTGAATCCATGGGATCAGCTTTGGCCTCCCCACACATTTTCCTTTTCCCCTCCTTTCCCTCCTTGTCCATCCTATTCCCGGCCCAGCTGGAGCTGATCCACCGGGATTGCGTGGCCAATTCCAAGTTCCCCTCTGGAATCACAGTGGCTCCAGTTCCACTGGAATCCACTGGAATCCATTCCTCTTTGCTCCACAATTCCAAGTTCCACTGGAATCCACTGGAATCCATTCCCATTTGCTCCACAATTCCAAGTTCCACTGGAATCCACTGGAATCCATTCCTATTTGCTCACATTTACGTACCCGGCACACAACCAGCCTCCCTCTCACATCTCCCTTTTCCCCCCTCTCCGGTCCCAGGTGGAGCTGATCCACCGGGATTGCGTGGCCAATTCCAAATTCCCCTCTGGAATCACACTGGCTCCAGTTCCACTGGATTCCACTGGAATCCATTCCCATTTGCTCACATTTACATACCCGGCACAGAACCAGCCTCCCTCTCACATCTCCCTTTTCCCTCCTCCTCCTCGCCCATCCCGCTCCCGGCCCAGGTGGAGCTGATCCATAGGGATTATGTGGCCAATTCCAAGTTCCCCTCTGGAATCACAGTGGCTCCATGGAATCCATTCCTATTTGCTCCACAATTCCAAGTTCCACTGGAATCCACTGGAATCCATTCCCATTTGCTCACATTTACGTACCCGGCACAGAACCAGCCTCCCTCTCACATCTCCCTTTTCCCCCTGCTCTCCGGTCCCAGGTGGAGCTGATCCGCCGGGATTGCGTGGCCAATTCCAAGTTCCCATCTGGAATCACACTGGCTCCAGTTCCACTGGGTTCCACTGGAATCCATTCCTATTTGCTCATATTTACATATCCGGCACAGAACCAGCCTCCCTCTCACATTTTCCCTTTTCCCTCCTCCTCCTCGCCCGTCCCACTCCTCCTCCAGCTGGAGCTGATCCGCCGGGATTGCGCGGCCAATTCCAAATTCCCCTCTGGAATCAAACTGGCTCCAGTTCCACCGGAATCCACTGGAATCCATTCCTATTTGCTCCACAATTCCAAGTTCCACTGGAATCCACTGGAATCCATTCCCATTTGCTCACATTTACATATTCACAGAACCAGCCTCCCTCTCACATCTCCCTTTTCCCTCCTCCTCCGGTCCCAGGTGGAGCTGATCCGCCGGGATTACGTGGCCAACGGGGGCTGGGAGACGTTCCTGTCCTACGAGGACCCGGAGCAGGACATCCTGGTGGGGCTGCTGCGCCTCCGCCGGAGCTCCCCGCAGTCCTTCCGCCCCGAGCTCCGCGCCGGCGCCTCCATCGTGCGGGAGCTGCACGTCTACGGCAGCGCCGTGCCCGTCAGCAGCCGGGACCCCGCCAAATTCCAGCACCAGGTACGGGCTGGGAGAGAGACAGGGTGGGATTCCAGCTCCCTTTTCCTGGAATTCTGCTGCTTCCCAGTTTTTTGGGGGTTTTTTCCCAATGGGATCGTGTTCAGCAGCCGGGACCCCGCCAAATTCCAGCACCAGGTACTCCCAGCAGTCCCAGATTTCCCACTGCTCCCACCTCCTTCCACCATTCCATCCTCATTCCATCTCCTTCCCTCACAAAAAAAATTGGAAAAAATTTTATTTAATTCCGCTCGTTTGCTCCGAGCTGGGATAGAGCCAGGATGGGATTCGAGCTCCTTTTTGCTGGAATTCTGCTGCTTCCCAGTGTTTTGGGGGTTTTTTTCCCAATGGGATCACGTTCCAGTCATAAAATGGGAGTTTTATTTAAAATTGGAGTTTTATTTAAAATTGGAGTTTTATTCTACTTGTTTGCTCTGAGTTGGGATAGAGCCACGGTGGGATTTGAGCTCCTTTTTCCTGGAATTCTGCAGCTTCCCAATGTTTTGGGTTTTTTCCCCAATAGGATCACGTTCCCATCATAAAATTGGAGTTTTATTTCATTCCGCTCGTTTTCTCTGAGCTGGGATCAGACCAGGGTGGGATTCGAGCTCCTTTTTGCTGGAATTCTGCTGCTTCCCAGTGTTTTGGGTTTTTTTTCCCCAATGGGATCATGTTCAGCAGATCCCTCCAAATCCCAGCACCAGGTACTCCCGGCAGTCCCAGATTTCCCTCTGCCCCCACCTCATTCCACCATTCCATCCTCATTCCCTCACAGGAAAAAATTGGAGTTTTATTTAGTTTTATTTAATTCCGCTCGTTTGCTCTGAGTTGGGATGGAACCAAGATGGGATTTGAGCTTTTTGCTGGAATTCTGCAGCTTCCCAGTTTTTTGGGTTTTTTTCCCCAATGGGATCACGTTCCAGTCATAAAATTGGAGTTTTATTTCATTCCGCTCATTCGCTCCGAGTTGGGATAGAGCCAGGGTGGGATTCGAGCTCCTTTTTGCTGGAATTCTGCTGCTTCCCAGTGTTTTGGGTTTTTCCCCAATAGGATCACGTTCCAGTCATAAATTGGAGTTTTATTTAATTCCGCTCGTTTGCTCCAAGTTGGGATTGAACCAGGGTGGGATTCGAGCTCCCTTTTGCTGGAATTCTGCTGCTTCCCAGTGTTTTGGGGGTTTTTTCCCCAATGGGATCGTGTTCAGCAGCCGGGATCCCTCCAAATTCCAGCACCAGGTACTCCCAGCAGTCCCAGATTTCCCACTGCTCCCACCTCCTTCCACCATTCCATCCTCATTCCATCTCCTTCCCTCACAAAAAAAATTGGAAAAAATTTTATTTAATTCCGCTCGTTTGCTCCGAGCTGGGATAGAGCCAGGATGGGATTCGAGCTCCTTTTTGCTGGAATTCTGCTGCTTCCCAGTGTTTTGGGGGTTTTTTTCCCAATGGGATCACGTTCCAGTCATAAAATTGGAGTTTTATTTAAAATTGGAGTTTTATTCTACTTGTTTGCTCTCCAGGTTGGGATCGAACCAGGGTGGGATTCCAGCTCCTTTTTGCTGGAATTCTGCTGCTTCCCAGTTTTTTGGGTTTTTTCCCCAATGGGATCATGTTCCAGTCGTAAAATTGGAGTTTTATTTAATTCCGCTCGTTTGCTCAGAGTTGGGATCGAACCAGGGTGGGATTCCAGCTCCTTTTTGCTGGAATTCTGCTGCTTCCCAGTGTTTTGGGGTTTTTTTTCCCAATGGGATCGTGTTCAGCAGATCCCTCCAAATTCTAGCACCAGGTACTCCCAGCAGTCCCAGATTTCCCTCTGCCCCCACCTCCTTCCACCATTCCATCCTCATTCCCTCATGGATAAAATTGGAGTTTTATTTAATTCCGCTCGTTTGCTCCGAGTTGGGATCAGACCAGGGTGGGATTCAAGCTCATTTTTCCTGGAATTCTGTTGCTTCCCAATGTTTTGGGTTTTTTTCCCAATAGGATCACGTTCCAGTCATAAAATTGGAGTTTTATTTAAAATTGGAGTTTTATTTAATTCCGCCCGTTTGCTCAGAGTTGGGACAGAGCCAGGTTGGGATTCGAGCTCCTTTTTGCTGGAATTCTGCTGCTTCCCAGTTTTTTGGGGTTTTTTCCCAATAGGATCACGTTCCAGTCATAAAATGGGAGTTTTATTTCATTCCGCTCGTTTGCTCCGAGTTGGGATGGGAGAGCCAGGGTGGGATTCGAGCTCCCTTTTCCTGGAATTCTGCTGCTTCCCAGTGTTTTGGGGGTTTTTTTTCCCAATGGGATCGTGTTCAGCAGATCCCTCCAAATCCCAGCACCAGGTACTCCTGGCATTCCCACATTTCCCACTGCTCTCACCTCATTCCATCTCCTTCCCTCACAAAAAACATTGGAGTTTTATTTAGTTTTATTTAATTCCGCTCGTTTGCTCTGAGTTGGGATGGAACCAAGATGGGATTTGAGCTTTTTGCTGGAATTCTGCTGCTTCCCAGTGTTTTGGGGTTTTTTTTCCCAATGGGATCGTGTTCAGCAGATCCCTCCAAATCCCAGCACCAGGTACTCCCAGCATTCCCAGATTTCCCTCTGATTTCACCTCCTGCCACCATTCCATCATTCCATCTCCTTCCCTCACAAAAAAAATTGGAAAAAATTTTATTTAATTCCGCTCGTTTGCTCCGAGCTGGGATAGAGCCAGGATGGGATTCGAGCTCCTTTTTGCTGGAATTCTGCTGCTTCCCAGTTTTTTGGGGTTTTTTTCCCCAATGGGATCACATTCCAGTCATAAAATTGGAGTTTTATTTAAAATTGGAGTTTTATTTAAAATTGGAGTTTTATTCTACTTGTTTGCTCAGAGTTGGGATAGAGCCAGGGTGGGATTTGAGCTCCTTTTTGCTGGAATTCTGCTGCTTCCCAGCTTTTCTGGATTTTTTTTCCCAATGGGATCACGTTCCAGCCATTTCAGGAGCTCTGAGGTCGAACAAAATTCCTTCAGATTTTAAAAAATTTCCTTCCTGGATTTGAAATTTAAAAAAAAAAAAAATTCCCTTCTGGATGCTCCTGGAGCTGTTTCATTCCCAGCCCTCGGGATCCTTTGGATCTCCTTTGTTAATTAATTCCTGCTCGTTGGAGGAATTCCATTGGAATTTCCTGGAATCCACAGCAATTCCCTCCGGGAAGGGGAGGGTGGGTTTGGTGTCCCTGGGGTTCCTCCAGAGGGAATTTTGTGGGATGGGCTCTTCCCGCTGGATCAGAATTCCCAGGAATTGCCCCTGGATCCCTGGGAGTGTCCCAGGAAAGGCTGGAGCAGCCTGGGATGTGTTGGGGTGGGAATGGGATGGGATTGAAGCTCCATGGATCCCATCCCAAACCATTCCGGGATTCTGGGATCCAGGACACTCAGGATCCATCCCAAGGGATTTTTATGGGATTTGGGGATGGAAAAGGGAAGGGAGATCCCCGAGATTCCCAGGGAATTCCCAAAATTCCTTCCTGGAGAGGAGCTGGGATGGGGATGGATCCAATACCAGGCTGGGAGAGCTGGGAATGGAGGGAATTCCCTGGGAAAAGGGGAGGGATTTGGGAAGGAATTCAGGAATTCCCAGAGAATCCCTGGGAGTGTCCAATGAAAGGCTGGAACAACCTGGGACTGTGGGGTGGGAATGGGATGGGATTGAAGGTCCATGGATCCCATCCCAAACCATTCCGGGATTCTGGGATCCAGGACACTCAGGATCCATCCCCAGGGATTTTTATGGGATTTGGGATTGGAAAAGGGAAGGGGGAGACCCTTCCTGGAGTCCCAAATTCCCAGGGAATTCCCAAAATTCCTTCCCAGAGAGGAGCTGGGGTGGGGATGGATCCAACGCCAGGCTGGGAGAGCTGCGAATGGAGGGAATTCCCTGGGATGGGATCTTGGGAAGGAAATTCCCGGATAGGAGGGAATTCCAGCCAGGAATTCCTCCCCCATATCCCACCTATCCCTGCCCTCTGGCCCTGGGGATTTCCAGTGTAAAATTCCAGGCTCATTTCCCACCCAGGGGAATTTTCCCCCATCCCGCTCCCGCCATGGAGAACCTGTCAGAAATTCCAGTGAGGAAAAAATCCCACCACGAGGAGGAAAAAATTCCCTGAGGAATTCGTTGTTTATCTCCATCCTCCCGCAATATCCACCATCATTCCAAAAATCCAGGAATTTTTTTTTTAGGAGCCCATCTCCGCGTGTCCTGACCTTGCTCCTCGTGGCTTCTGTTTTGACGGAAATTCCCTTTTTTTTTTTTCCCCATTTTTTTTTTCCGGCCGTTCCAGGGGTTTGGGATGCTGCTGATGGAGGAGGCGGAGCGGATCGCCAGGGAGGAGCACGGGGCCCGGAAAATCGCCGTCATTTCAGGTATTCCTGCTCTTCCCGGGGGGTTTTTTTGGGAATATTTTGGGATATTCTCATCTTAATCCGAAAATAACTCCAGGGCTGGGAGCATTCCTCGGGTCAGGGGGGATTAATCCGGAATTATCCCGGAGAAAGGAGATGGGAGAAAAAAAACCTGGAGCTTTTCCTCCTTTTCCTGGGAGATTTGGGTCAGAATTGAGATGGGATCCAAAATTGGGATTTTTGGGAGCCTGAGGAAGCTTTTCCATGTGGATGGAAATGTTGGATGTCCAGGAATCCCTGCTGGAACCTTGGGAATGGGGCAATTCCCTGGGGAGCTGTTTCATCCTCTGGAATACAATAATTAATATCAATTATAATTAATAACTTATTTAATAAATAATTTGTATTGTCATATTTAATATATATTATATATTTAATATTATATATTATATATTTATACTATATACTATATACTATATACTATATACTATATATTATATACTATATACTATATACTATATACTATATACTATATACTATATAATATATAATATATAATATATAATACATAATACATAATATATAACATTGTATTATTATATAATAAATATTATATATTATTATATTTAATAACTGATTATTTATAAATTATAAAATATTAATTATTACACATTATATTATATAATGATCATATAATTATTATATTGTATCATATATGATTTATATTACATAATAATTATATTATTATGTATATCAAGAATTTATTTCTAAATTATAATATATAAATTATAATGACTTATAAAATATAATTAATTATATCATTCTTTTTGCCATAAGAATTTTAGGGAATTTAGGAGCAGAGCTCTGATCCAGAGGAGATTTTTGGGAAAAAATTCCTCAAAAAAAAACCCCCAAAAAGCAGAAATCCGCAGCTTGGCTCCGTGCTGCTGGTCAGATCCAAAATCCTGGGATTTTCATGGATCATGGATGAGGGTCAGAGCTCCGTAATCCAGAGCTCTGGAATACAACGATTTAATATAAATTACAATTTTGAGGAATGACAGGCAGAGGAATTCCTCCTGCCAGAGGAATTTCAGGGGATTTAACAGCAGAGCTCTGATCCAGAAGTTTTTATTTTGGGAAAAAATTCCTCATTTTCTGCTGCCCCACCAAAAAAAAATCCCAAAAAACAACCCCCAAAAAGCAGAAATCCGCGGCTTGGCTCCGCGCTGCTGGTCAGATCGGAATTCCTGGGATTTTCCTGGATCCTGGCTGAGGGTGGGAGCCGGGCGCTCCAGGGAATGTTCTGGATTTTCCGGGCTCCGTTTGCTGCTCGTTCCCAGGGCAGCTGCGGCTGCTCCGTCCTGGGAGTGTCCGGGAATGTTTGGAGCTGCCGGGGCTGGAATGGGATGGGATTTCAGGTCCCTTCCGGAATTCCAGGATTCCCTCTCCCAGTGGTTTCCCTGCTCCAGTTCCTGTTTGGTGTCAGTCTGAACCGGGAATTCTGCCTGGATTCTGAAATTCCACAATTCCGTCTCCCAGTGGTTTTCCTATTCCTGCTTGGTGTCAGTCTGAACAGACAGGGAGTGATTTTCCCTGGATGCTGATATCACTGGATGTTGTTTTCCCTGGATCCCGTTATCCCTGGATCCTGTTATCCCTGGATCCCATTTTCCCTGGGTGCTGATATCCCTGGATCCTATTATCCCTGGATCCTGTTATCCCTGGATGCTGAAATCCATGGATCCCATTATCCCTGGATCCCGTTATCCCTGGATCCCATTTTCCCTGGGTGCTGATATCCCTGGATCCCATTATCCCTGGATCCCATTATCCCAGAATGTTTTTTTTCCCTGGGTGCTGATATCCCTGGATCCTGTTATCCTTGGATCCCATTATCCCTGGATGTTGTTTTCCCTGGATACCATTTTCCCTGGATGCTGAAATTCCTGGATACCGTTATCCCTGAATGTTGTTTCCCTGGATCTGATGTCCCTGGATCCCATTTTCCCTGGATCCCATTTTCCCTAGATCCCATTATCCCTGGATCCCATTATCCCTGGATCCCATTATCCCTGAATGTTTTTTCCCTGGATGTTGATATCCCTGGATCCCGTTATCCCTGGATACCATTTCCCCTGGTTTCTGATATCCCTGGATCCCATTTTCCCTGGACGCTGATATCCCTGGATTTTGTTATCCCCGCATCCCATTATCCCAGAATGTTTTTTTCCCTGGTTTCTGATATCCCTGAATCCCATTATCCCTGGATACCATTTTCCCTGGATGCTTATATTCCTGGATCCCATTGTCCCTGGATCCCATTATCCCTGGATGTTGTTTTCCCTGGATGCTGATACTACTGGATCCCATTATCCCTGAATGTTTTTTCCCTGGATTTTGTTATCCCTGGATCCCATTATCCCGAAATGTTTTTTCCCTGGGTGCTGATATCCCTGGATCCCATTATCCCTGGATCCTGTTATCCATGGATCCCATTTTCCCTGGATGCTGATATCCCTGGATCCCATTATCCCTGGATGTTGTTTTCCCTGGATACCATTTTCCCTGGATGCTGATATTCCTGGATGCTGTTATCCCTGAATGTTTTTTCCCCTGGATGCTGATATCCCTGGATCCCATTATTCCTGGATCCCATTTTCCCTGGATCCCATTATCCCTGGATCCCATTATCCCTGGATCCCATTATCTGTGGATTTTGTTTTCCCTGGATGCTGATGTCCCTGAATCCCATTATCCCCGGATGTTTTCCCTGGATCCCATTATCCCTGGATCCCATTATCCCTGGATTTTGTTTTCCCTGGATCCCATTATCCCTGAATGTTTTTTCCCCAGATGTTGATATCCCTGGATCCCATCATCCCTGGGTCCTGTTATCCCTGGATCCCATTATCTGTGGATTTTGTTTTCCCTGGATTTTGTTTTCCCTGGATGCTGATGTCCCTGGATCCCATTATCCCTGGATGTTTATCCCCCTGGGTTTTTTCCCTGGATCCTGATATCCCTGGATCCCATTATCCCGGAATGTTTTTTTCCCTGGATGCTGATATCCCTGGATCCCGTTATCCATGGATCCCATTTTCCCTGGTTTCTGATATCCCTGGATCCCATTGTCCCTGGATGTTTTTTCCCTGGATCCCATTATCCCTGGATCCTGTTATCCCTGGATCCCATTTTCCCTGGATGCTGATATCCCTGGATTTTGTTATCCCTGGATGTTTATCCCTGGGTTTTTTCCTTGGATCCCATTATCCCTGGCTGTTTATCCCTGGTTTTTTTCCCTTGATCCCGTTATCCCTGGATCCCATTATCCCTGGCTGTTTTCCCCTGGATCCCATTATCCCTGGCTGTTTATCCCTGGATCCCGTTATCCCTGGATCCCATTATCCCTGGCTGTTTTCCCCTGGATCCCGTTATCCCAGGCTGTTTTTCCCTGGATCCCATTATTCCTGGATCCCATTATCCCTGGCTGTTTATCCCTGTCTGTTTATCCCTGGATCCCGTTATCCCTGGCTGTTTTCCCTGGACATTTTTAACCCCTTCGTGTCCATCCTTGCCCCGAAGCTCACCCAGCCCCCACCCCAGCCCCTGGCCATGAACATTCCCAGCAGGAATTTCCCCTTTTCCCGGCATTCCGGGCCCTTCCCGCGGCACTCGGGAGCTGCCCCTCCCCTCTCAGAAATGCCCATTTTTGGTCACTCTTTGCCCGTTTCTGGGCATTTTCTGCTGCGGCGGCGGCGCCGTGGTGCAGCTCGGATTCCAGCCCTGGGGCCTCCCTGCGTTATCCCAGCTCTGCAATCCCGGATTTCCCGTTTCCCGGGAATCGCCGCCGGTGCCGGGATGGATTTTTTGGGGTGGTTTTTGGGGATGTTTTGGGCTCTGGGTTTTATCGCCTCCGAATTTGCTCCTCTTTTGCCCTTTTCAAAACCCCTCCCAAACCTCAGGGAAACAATTCCAGAATTTGCTCCCTGGTGCCCACGAGGGGCTGGAAACACAAGGAATGGGGGGAATCCTTACGGAATATGGAGAATTCCTTCTTTCCTTTTTTCCTTTTTCCTTCCTTTTTTCCTTCCCTTCTGCCACTTCCTTTCCTTTCCTTTCCTTTCCTTTCCTTTCCTTTCCTTTCCTTTCCTTTCCTTTCCTTTCCTTTCCTTTCCTTTAAATTTCCTTTCCTTGAAATTTCCTTTCCTTTCCTTGAAATTTCCTTTCCTTGAAATTTCCTTTCCTTTCCTTTCCTTGAAATTTCCTTTCCTTGAAATTTCCTTTCCTTTCCTTGAAATTTCCTTTCCTTTCCTTGAAAGTTCCTTGAAATTTCCTTTTCCTTTTCCTTTTCCTTTTCCTTTTCCTTTTCCTTTTCCTTTTCCTTTCCTTGAAAGTTCCTTTCCCTTCCCTCCCAAAAACCCTGAAATCCACAATTTCTGAACTTAGGTTGGTTTGGGAATTATTTAGAAATCAGATTAAATCATTTCTTTCCCGAGGATCTGAAATTCCCAGCGTTGGAAGCGGGGCTGGATCAGAGCTGTGAACATTTGCGAATCCAGAATGGATTTCAGCAAATCCAAACTGGAATTCAGCAATTCCAAACTGGGATTCAGCAAATCCAAACTGGGATTCAGCAAATCCACACTGGAATTCAGCAAATCCACACTGGGATTCACTGAATCCAAACTGGGATTCAGCAAATCCAAACTGGGATTCAGCAATTCCAAACTGGGATTCAGTGAATCCAGACTGGGATTCAGGGAATCCAAACTGGGATTCAGCAAATCCACACTGGGATTCAGCAAATCCAGACTGGAATTCAGCAAATCCAGACTGGGATTCAGCAATTCCAAACTGGGATTCAGCAGTTCCAAACTGGGATTCACTGAATCCAAACTGGGATTCGGCAGTTCCAAACTGGGATTCAGCAAATCCAGACTGGGATTCAGCAAATCCAAAGTAGGATTCAGGAAACCCGAACTGGGATTTGGCAAATCCATACTGGAATTCAGCAAATC